TACTACTTTGAAAGCTTACCTCGGGTGTAACATAAGACACAAACGACGGTTTAGAAGACTTCGCTCCTCCGCTCCCCAAACTCAACATTGTGCCACAGTATCCCGCTTCCCGAGCAGTCAGGTGGAAATCCGGGAGAATGCGAACACAACTTTCCTCCCTCTCTCTTTGCACAAGCAAGCCGCGGATTTCCTTTGGTTCGAGTGGAAAACAAACCTGCTCTGACAGCTAACCGCGCCCATTCGACGGCATTGGCTCTTTATGGACAAACGGTCCATTTTTTACTCCGGTCAAGAACAAGTCGCTTTTTGCTCATTGGATGAAAAGGCTGTCAATCTTATGGGCTTCCTCGTTGCTGAACAAATACGCAGTCGTATTCAAAATAGCCTACGCCCTGAAGTTAGAGGTTTATGCTTCCACATCTTTCATGTTTTTTTGGCTTCGTGTTTGCATATCTAGTGTTTTTTTTTCTCATTTTCACTCAATTCATCAGAACACAGACTAAAGTAGTTCCTCATTAGCATAAATAACAGGAGAAGATAACAAAGCACCTGTGAGGCAATCAAGAATACAAAAAAAATCTAGATTTGAATCCTTTAATTTGTGAGTTACACATCGAAGCAAATTAAACTAAAGACATACCAAACTAAAACTTCAGGTTGAAGACGACTCTACATGTATTTTGGTTACATTTAGTTTCAGAAATGTCTTTATTATAAGCATTTTAGTAGTACCTTGACAGTGAATGACAAGCATCAAAGGTTAAGTCTACAACAATCTGCAGTTACAACACAGATATTTCACTTTTGTTCCTCCCATCAAACTCAAACCAGAAATTAAAATTAACAGCAAGCAACTACACATCTATAAACCAATAAAACAAAATTAATAAAAAACAAAAACATTCCTGTGCTTTAAAACCATACGGGCATTTGTTTTGAAGATCTACTGCAAGATTAGATACAGGCTTCTTAAATGATCATATATTAGAGATCATACAGTTATATGATCACATTTACAGATACATTTAGGGTTAACAATATGAACACAACACAGGCAGACCTGGGTCAATTACGAGATCCATAGGAAAACAAACAAAAACAACTTTGACCTTAAAACCACTACAAATGATCAGCGTTTGAATACTTTGAGAAGAACTCCTCTGAAATGAGCTTGCAACTCAAGTTTCCTTAAATTTACAGTTGGTAGATACTTCTGGTATTTGGCCCAGGTCTGATTTCAACGGTTGGTGTCTTGAGAAATGTGAGAGCTACACCACAGAGGCACAGCTACCAGCAAACTTACAGCCTAACTTTGGGACAAGTGCAGCTTTACATCACTTGCAAGCATATAGAAGGAATGAAGTCCTAGATAGGTTTCAAGGATATTGGTTAGCCAATGACAAATTTACAAATGGTTAAAAGCCAACCCATCCTTCAGAATGCACTAGCAATGGAAAATACATGCTTGTATAAATCCACGTCCAGTCAAAGTTATCACATTCATCACAACAGGACGAACCAGTTGCATAATCAACCATCTTATCTTTGATCTTGCATTTTGAAGAGGAATGTCTCTAAACAAAATAAATTATGAAAACACCTAAACAATTTATTGCAATGCCAAGGAAGCCATTGTCAAAGTTACTTTACATGTGTAACTGGAAGGATAAGATGGACTTTAAAGAATCGGCTCCACAGGGACATAAGTGCACAGCTCAAACTTCTAGAAATATGGGGAAAGACTACATCCAATTTGCTAAAATTATCATGAACTTAGGCTCAACTTCTCTAGATTGTACGCATCTCCAATCTTTAAACCAAGACACCAGACTAAACAACCGAGATGGGCTAGAGTCTGTGTAAAGGAAATAAAGGCCAAAATCAGGTCTTTACTAGTTCTTAAAAATATATAATCAGCATGCACAGAGATCAACAGAAATGGCATTTTGTATACCAGGAATAAACTATTTGAAACAGGGGCAGGGTGAACAGGGCTAGTTGTACTGTAGTGCACTTCAGAACCCCTCGTGGTCCTTCTTGTCCTTCTTTCCTTCTGCTTCAAATCCATCAGTGCCATCACTGTTATCGCGACGCCTCTTGCGGTTATTTCGTACGTTGAAGCGCGAGTTCATCTGAGGCAGGGGGTCCATTCCCAGAACCTTGTGAATCTGACGGAACGCCAGCAGCCTCAAGGCAAACTGTGGAGAAAGGGCTCGGGTCAATAAATTCAATGTACCTCGATTAATACGGGACCATAACCGCATGTAAAAATTATACAATAATTGTCAAAATACATTTAAATATTTTTAATGGAGTCAATGCATGACAAAAAAAAAAAAAATATATATATATATATATATATTCTACAAAGCAGTTACTGTGTACTCCACCTGAGCGCTTGACGTGATGTCCTCTCTCTGCTGCTCTTCCATGCTAGCCAGTGTATCCGTTGGATTTTTCTCACAGGGGTCCATCAATCCTGGACCACCTACATCACAAGGAAAAGGATAAGATAAAGAGCATGTTAAATTAAGCAACTAATTTCTCAAGTTGAACTTATGCAACAATGACTAAGTTGCCAATAAATTAATGCATCCAACATTTTCATTTTATGCTCTAGAAAGAAAAAAAACTGATACTGACATAATTACTGCAAATTACTTGCATTTTCTGACTTGTCAACAAAAGCTACAGATATTACCAGAGGGCCTTCTTACCAGACAGCAGAATGCCTGAGGAAATACATTCAAAGACTCGTCGCAGAGAATCTCCAGGGCTCATTGGTCCAGAGGCACTGCTGATGGCCTTCTCCACCAGCAACTCCAAAGCCTTGGAAAAGTCAACAGTCACTTAATAGAATCCACAATATCAAACACTTTCTCTTAAAAAAAAGGCACATTAAGCATCAGTTTACTCAATTTTATCATCCTGCAATCTTCCTCTTACAAGTAGGACTAAAAAAAAGCAGCATTATGCTTTTACAACCTCTATTAGCAGGGGTGGCGAACATCAGTCCTGGAGAGCCAGTCCCGCAGAGTTTTGCTCCAACCCTGATAAAAGCTCACCTGCCTGTAGTATTCTAGCAACCCTTCAGACCTTGATTAGCTTGTTCAGGTGTGTTTGATTAGGGATGAATCAAACTCAGCAGGACTGTGGCTCTAGAGACTATTTTGCAAGATGTAAACACTTTTCCAGAAACACTTCCTGTTACAGTTTGTAAAAGGTTTCTTTATTTCAAATGTAAAGAAAATATCTTAAAGATGTTCAACTTCTTGATTCAGTTGTATATGTTCTGTTGGTTTTATACCAACATTTATGTGGTGATAAACTGAAATAGGAAGTGCTTCTAGACCAGCGTTTACATCTCGAAAAATGGTCTATAGGAACAGTCTTAGGGATGCTAAATTACGCAACAAAGCTACACCGAGGACAGTATGAAGGAAGGAATGAAATGGGGGAGAAACAAACTTCAGGGTTCTGGGTTGATATTAGAAAAATCCTGAGCCTGTATTTTTTTTTCCTGGGACAGATGCGCAAGGGCCAGTTTATCCTCTGCTAATTTCTGACAAAATGACGAGTGGATGAACGATGGTTCTTCTAGTCTTATATTGTTGTCTTATTTTTTTGAGAATGCAAGACACACACACACAAACACATGCCTATCTTCATAATTCTAGTTTTGACCCAAATCCCACTTGAACTGTAAAGCCGGAACACACCAAGCCGACGCCGACGAACTAGCGCTGATGAAATCCGACTGTGTTGTCGCCTCTCGTCGGGGTAAAAAGCTGCACTTGAACACACCAAGAGAACTGCAGGCGACTGTCAGCTATAATGTGCGTTCTGCGCCTGCACGTAATGAGCCAACTGTCTATTTCTGCACATATATTAGTCTATATTCTTCATTCAAAAAGGAAAACCGACGCTGCCGGCTGCAGATACACATAACGTAAACAAAGCAGCCAGTGCTTACCTTTTTGAATATCAATCCTGCTAAACATTTTCTTTATTCCACTCTGCTCATGTTAATATTGAAATATTCGCCAAGGAACACTCGGGTAAGATGATGTAAGATAAGAACAACCTTCTAACTTTACCGTTTTGACTTCTTTACTTGCTGTTTTGCTTTTATTATTGTGCACTGACTGTTTCACTAAGCTGAACAGCCAATCAGAGTTCTCGCTTTCCCCGACACCGATTCAACATGTCAAATCGGGCGAAACAAAGCCGACAAGGACCATTTTCAGCCGACGGCACGGAATCGTGCTGTGCGGAACACACCAAAGAAACTTTGTCGGCTGACGCACAAACACCGCCCAACGGCCGACTGTCTGCTAGGGGTGTTCCGGGCTTAATATATTTTTTTCATGATATTCTGAGACCAAAATACGTACAGGTTGGCAGGTCTGCGATTGGCTGAAGTAAAGTAACTGGTGTGGTTTAGTGAAAGTGCCTCTGCGAACGTGAATCTGATTTTTTTTTCCCGCAGACATGTCTGTCCGCCGGAAACCCAGCATGGCACTGGAGCATGTTGGTTGTAGGAAAGGCCTCATACTACATAAGATACATTAGCTTTTCAGTAATGTATCATGAGTAATGTAGACAGGAACCGTCCCTGCATCTTCTCAAGTCAACTGCAGATCTATGCATTGTGTTAATGTCAACAGCAACTTAGTATTGGGATATGCTATGCCAATTACTGGAAAAACTACACCATTTTAAAAGCAGTTTTAAAGTGTGGCCACATTTGATATTAAAAAGGTCTCCTGACATGAATTTTCACTTTCTGAGGTTTAACATTAATAGTTGAGCTCCCATAGCCTGAATATGGTCCCCCAGTGGCTAGAAATTTAAATTGTAAACCGAGCTTTGGCTATCTTTCTCTGGCATTGAGTAACTGAAAGCTCAGACAGGCTGATCTTGAATCTCTCCTGTATGACATCATACAGAAGAAAGATAAACTCCTCTTTCTCTGCCCAGAGATATTGGCTCAATCGCCCATGAGAAAATGAGCTAGGAAGTACGAACGCAAGTTTTTCCTCGAGACATCATGGCTTGCAAACGAGCAAAGCATGGCAGTTGATCGGTGCTTGGATGTACAAAATAACACAAGCTGGTGTGTGGTGAGCGTTCTGGCGCACTATGGCAGCCGTCGCATCATCCAGGTGGATGCTGCACACTGGTGGTGGTTGAGGAGACTCCCCTCTCTATGTAAAGCACTTTGAGTGCAGAGAAAAGCGCTATATAAATGTAATGAGTTATTATTATTATTTGTGTCTTTACTCACCCAGCTAGGAAAGGCAGACCAGGTGGGTACTCGCTGACACAGGTCACGCAGTATTCGAATGACAATGACACACGACTGGAGCCCATTAGCCCTAGCCTTCAGTGCAGTGAAGTGAACTTAAGATTAGTTAATGCACAAGAGTAAAGACATACAACATGTCAGAGTTCAGAGAGAGGTGCAACACTACTGTTCACAATGGAAGCTTTTAACTGGTTTAAAAACAGCTGGACCAATTGACTTTTTTTTTTGAAAGCTTCCATTCCCAGCAGTATTTTACCTCACCATTAGTACAAGAGTTCAAAGTTTGCAAGATTCACTTGGAATGACTCCTTGGTAATCTTGTAAACCTTGACCTCAATTGTCAAATACTTCACAAACATATACTTTCATTTTACAAAAGATCAGTTTGCAAGAGTGGTTGCATAGGAACTGAAGCAGACAAGGAAATCTGCTTTACTTTGCCTGTGTATTTGCGGAGATGGCAACAACACAGTAAACTAATCAGATATTCCTTTTCTCTCAATCCCTATTCCCAAGAAAGAAAAAAAAAAGAAAAAAAAAAAAAGAAAATAAAATGAAATCACAAAAAAACAAAAGCTCTTATCGATGACACTTTATGCAAAGGTATTCTGCAGCCTTATGGAATCATTTCACATGCCAAGTAGTATTTAATATAAGACTAATGAATAAAATGACATGTATGCAAGGATGCAATTTGTTAGGATCAAATCAGCTCATTTACAAAAACAAAAATGGAAAAGATAGTATAATCACCCAATTTTATACTGCATCCTTGCATCACTCCCCCTCCACAAAAATCAGCTTTGAGGTTTAAAATTTAAAAACAAAAGACTAACCAACTTAAATGAACAAATAAAAAAGGAATACATCTCATAAGGCTACAAGAAGAAAGTAAAATGATGTTCCGAACCTGGAACCACTTAGCGTGGCGTAGGGCAGCCAGAGCGTCAAGGCATTTTTGCCTGTCCAAGACGTCCGCTGGGTCTTTCACCATACTCGAGGTTACATCTAAAAATGGATCGAATTGTCAAATGGTGGTGAGGAATGGGTGTTTGACCAGGTCAGAGAGACTGCCAAGAACACATTGCCACACATACCAGTCTGTTCCTGATCACATATTTTTCAAAATGTAAAAACCCGTTTATGTATTACACAGTTCACCCCATATGCAAAATCTTTCAGATCTTTTCAACAACATTATGGATCAGCTACACTTGCCATTGGGTGCACTTCTATTTAGTCTGATGTGGTGCTGAAAGAAACAGGATAGGGACAGATTAATCCTGAATTCACAAGTTGTTGTTTTTTCCTTTTTCACGGGGGGCACTAGAGAATGTGGCATAGTGATATTGGATTTCACAATTAGAATAGGAAATGCGCTCATGATTTTTTGGTACTTTGCATATAGTGAGCATGACGCCTATAATTAATGGCAATATAAACATCTCTTGATAAAGACCATATCAGTTATGGCTGGTCAAATCAATGCTCTGCAAAACTCCATTTGAAACTAATGGGAATGACAATGCATGAGTTTCAAATGCTAAAATATAGTGAACTAGTCTAACAGAAGTAATACTGATACAATCCGTAATTGCTAAAAACAGCAGAGTCACGCATAGCATCCGTCTTATGCAATTATACATTAGATCACATAGGTTTACAAACATTAATTTGAAAAACTCTTGAAATTGTGCCATATTGCCAACCAAGTACTATCCTGTTTATTCCTTACAGTAGAAGAATTAAAATTTTACATAAATTTGTTGTTTTTAAAAATCTAAAAAATTGTTGCTCTAGTTTTCTAGTATCAGATAGTGGAATTTTAAAACAAGTCAAATTTGAATATATTCAGGAAGTGTACAATTCCCTCATCTCTTGCCATCTTTAACCAGCTGACTTAACAGTTGAGGCTAAAGTTATTTTTTCCTATAGGCAACAAATTGTGGATTCCAATGTCCAAATAAAGTTTGAGGTGTTAAACATGAAAAATACAATTCCATTGAAAAACAAAGTCACTGTACTGATCCAGAAACATTGGAAAGATAACGGGCTACAAATGATACCCGATGTGTAAATCATGAGGATGTAAAACAGGGTTATCAAGGGAGATGTCTAATGTTAACAGCTGATGAGTTTTTGTAGCAACCCACTACAGCAACCTGGCAAATGGTAGGTGTGGCAAAGTGTTTGAAGGTATTCAGGAGGAGGACCTTGGTCAAAAATCCTTCCGGAGCGGGTAGACGTAGCCTCAGATGGGAGACAATTTGCTGAAAATGCAAGGAGGCTTTGGGCTGGACTTGAAAAGCTTTGTATACATGAAGGCAGCAATGCGTGCTGGCAAGAATATATGAAGCTCCCAGCAAGAGGATTAGGACATCACTGCATGCATACCAGTCATGATTGGGCTTGGAGAACCCCAATTCTCAATTTATACTGAAGGCTGTAAAACCCCAGGTCCAACCAAAGATTCCTCTAGTCAAAGCCTTCTTCCCAAAAGCTGACTGATACTCCCCTAAGGAGCCAAACAGGAATGGTGGCATGGCCACAAAGCCTGCATTTAAGAATTTCAGTGACTTCTTACCACATTTCCCCAAGTAGTAGAGTAACCAGCACTAACCCGTTTGTCTTTTTATATCCTTACAACGAAGAGTATTGGTGTTTTGTTGTTTAAAATCATACGTTTCCCCATGTAAAGGAGGAATTAAAGTAACAGCTGTTTGAAAGCCAAATTTTGCCATTTATCAAGCTCTATATTGGATTGCTTCTCTCAGGGGAGCACTTTCATTTTGGAACAGGGGACCATAGAATGGTGAACAATTTCACCACTAGACGAAAATAAGATTTGTTTCCTGTGGGGACATGGTAGACATTCCATTTCTATTCAGGAACTAAATCAGAAATTAAGTTGTTTGCACAGAATACTACCCCTGAACAAACTATGACCCCCTGAGAAAGAAAAGGATTTTGCATAGGACACAATCCCCTTGAACACAGGAAACAAAAATGAATCTTACCCGGGACTAATTAGACTTACACAATGCAAACACTTATCATGCTTGTTTTGGGTAGAGCTTCAAGAGCACCGGAAAAGGTGTTACAAAGAGAGGAGCCTGAGCACCCACTGCCGGCATCGGAGATGGTTGGGTAGAACCTGGCAGCGTTGAACTCGGCTCTAAAACAACTTGAAGCCACTTGAACGGGCTTCAATCCTGTTATAGCATGAACATTACATGCTTCAAATGAAATGAAGTATAAATGAGAGAAGAGGCACTTTACCTCAATGGCTTAACTTTTAAAGAAAAACTAGGTCACTTATGTACGGCCAAGCTCAAGCGCATACCAGGTTTAATGTTTACTACTTACAATATATATATTTATATATTTTTTTATTTTATTAAATGCTCCCAAGTCCAAAAGGTGCAAACTTAAGTGTGCCAGTATTAACATCTACTTCCATCTCCACAGTGCCAACAGATGGGCTCTTTAGGTTGTCAAAATCAGAATAAAAGTATTAATCTGATAGATAGTCGGTTAATGGGAGCAACGTCTTTTCCAACCTCCATCCCGGGGGTTCTCCTCTCGGATGACGGGTGAGGTGAGGGTGATGGTCACTTGCATCTTGGACTCAGTGCAGGAGGTAAGGATAATGGCAGCCTCTTGAATGGAACCTTTAACCTCATATTTCTCCGGTGTTACGATCTGACAAACACATGGGTTAGCAGTGTTGGGAAAAAAGGTCATAAACATCAATTTAAGATTGGACAAAGCTTGACCCACAGTAACAGGTGGTGTTACTCTACATCCTTAAAGGGTTAGTTATCTTAATCTTAATTTGTGTTCCGAAGATTAACAAATGGCTCGTGGCTTTGGAAAGCCATGAGGATGAGAAATTAAAAAGTGACAAATTTAATTTTGGGGTGACTTTAAATCATTAAAAAAAAAAAAAACAAATTTTGCAGTTTACATTGCATTGAGTCAGTACCGTGAGCTGTTTGGGGAGATGTTCCACAATGCGCGTAAGCAGATTTATGGTTGGCTTCTCAGAACATAGGAGGACTAGATTGACGTGCGTGTCTCCTCGCAGAAGGAGCCCCTTGGCAAGAACACCTACTCGCATCACTCCTTTCAGCACCCTGCAATGCAAAATAGGTCATGTTTAGCTTGGACCTTTTTCCCCCTTTCTGCTTTGAGAAAGATTAGAGCATTCTTCTCCCACCTGTCTTTGGGAGGCTCTTTCTTTTCTTTGTCTTCTTCGTTGCCCTTTACAGTTGTATCTTGGTCAGTAATGATGTCAGAGACAAGCTTAAGTGCTCGCTCTGTGATTGATACAATCTTCTGGATGGCCTGGAGCTCATCCTCAGATGGGTAAATAGCTGCATGTTTGGTCATCACATAACGATCATCCGAAGAATCAGGGCGACGTGGAGGCTGCAATAAAAATATGTTAGAAACCAAATAAGTTGATGACATTTCACTAATAGACATGCAAGCAAAATATGATGATTCGCTCTTAAAAAGCTACAAAACTAAATTTCACTTCAAAACTGATATGCTAGTATAAATGAAGCTGTTTAATGCCATTGGGCCATTTGACCATATGGATTGTTTTTAACCAACCATCTGTTGGTAATACTAGTAGACTAGAAATTTTACTCGGGGGCAGCCCTAAACTTGATAAATTTGATGCCTCCATGCTGATTCAAATTTAACTCCACATCTCAAACACAAGCCACATGTTTTGGCAAATCCAGCATGTTTTATCTCCATAGCAGTTTTCAGGTCTTACCACTGGTCCTTGTGGTAGAGGAATGGGCATCCCAGGTCGCACTCCAAGAAGACCAGGAGGTCCAGGTGGACCCTGTGGATAACCTCCATCAGGCATTCTGCGCCTTTCATCCCAGTGGTGCTCTTCCTCCATACGCCTCCAATACATGTCTTCTTCATAGCGCCTGAGGACAAACACTATATTTAGGACCTCTTAAAAATCTCAAATGTAGATAGTGACATATTAGAGGGGGGAAAAGCATCACACCTCATCTCCATCCTCCAGCGCTCCTCTTCTTCACGTCTTCTCCAATACTCTTCCTTTTGCATCTGCTTCCTCATCTTTTCCTCTTGGATCTTCCTGGCTCGGATGCTAGGTTTCACTTCCACCTGGAGATCTGGGTTCACCTTTTTCTAAAAAAAAAAAAAAAAAAAAAAAAAAAAAAGCTAAAATGAAATATCAAAACCATTTAGATTTAATCAAAAGAATCACTACAAACTAATCCCACTATAAAAAATAAAAAAAACTCACTAACCTTGTACTGCAGTCGATGTCTCCTTCCTTTCAAATGCATTTCCTTGGCATTTGGGTCATTAAAACTGCATTCACACAGTTTGCAGTGGAACCGGATAACCTTTCCTTCATCATTCCTCACCTTAAAATTAGATTAAGATTAAAAAAAAAAAGATTGTTCACACGTGGCTACATGACATAAATTACTTTCAGTAACTTTTCCTTTTAATAATTCTTCTGATACCTCCTCTACATAGTCATGTCCGACGGGCTGAACATCACTCTGCAGGGCTGCAAGTGCTGACTGGGGTGACATAGGGTCAAGTATTTCATTCTTTCCATCCAGTGGTGGTGTAGACTGTGCAGTTTTAGCAGCCTCAATCTTTGATTCATCATTTTTAACAGCAGTGGTCTGTAATTTGTTTCCACCTGTTTTGGTCATGCAAATAAAATAAAATAAATAAAAGTCCCATAGGACCAATCAAAGAACAAATATCATTTGTTTAAGACATACCAACAAAGTTGATCTTGGGCGTGTTGACCTTCTTGACGGAGGTGCTATTGACCGAGACACTGTTGGCCACTGCGCTCTTGCCCTGTGCAGCTGAAGCCATGTTGTTGGCCATGCTGCCAGATTTTAAGTAAGAGGCAGAAACCGAGGAAGCAGAGAGGTTGGACGATGTGCTTGTGGAGCTGTTGCTGTTGGAGCTGGCAGTCTTATTGGGAGCTGCGGTACTGGAGGTAGAGGACTGGGAAACAACACTGGGCTCGGTGGATGGTATTGGCTTTCCTAGTTTGGTATGCAATTTCACAACCTATAGAAACAGAATGCAATTAGATATTAGGTAGATTTAATAAACTATTATGTGCAGACTATTTATGTGATGAAATCAGAAAATGAGTCATGTACCTTCTGGTGTTTGGCTCCTCTGATGTGTGCGGCGTAGGCGTCGGCCCCAGTACAGGACACATCACAGAGCTCACAGCGTAGCTGATTCTGTGTGCCGCGGGCGGAGCTCCCGCCTCCACTGCTGCTACTGCTGCTCTGCGAAACCTTCAATGCGGCTTCTTTCTTTTTGTGCTTCTGACCTTCCAGATGCTCCTTATAGGTCTGAAAAAGAAGCAATAAGACAAATACACTAGGAGTAGGTGCCACAATTCATGCAAGTTTATCTGAACGTTTGCTATGAGTGGTGCGGTTTATCTACCTACTACAAACACTACACAAGACAGATTGTTTCAAAGCGCTAAATATAATTAAAGGGGGACTTGACTTGATCACATAAAAGATGCTCATTGTGTTTTCAGTGCACTATATGAGGACATGACCACATGAACATTACCTCCAGATCACCTCGGAGATCACTCCATGAGCATTTCATTTAAAAACTATCGTCATATACACATACTCTTCTGAATAATCTTTACGACAACACTTGAATAATGAGGCTGTTCAGGAATAAATTATTCCTCCATGTTTCCTTTTAAAAGTACATCTCTGTTGTGCAGTTTGAAAAAAAAAAATTCTAATTATTAAAAGGTGTGCAAGTTAATTGTTAAACGCAATTAATTTAAAAGCCAATGCAATAAACTAGAAAAATTTAATTTTCCGTCATCAACAGCATAAACCGTTTATCAAACCATTTTCAAATTCATGGAAAAACAGAATTTAGGACAAAATAAAACCAATTTAAGGCACTCAAACAGCAATAAATTCATTATAGTAAAATACCTGAGGTCCCGCACAACTGATCTTGCAGACGTCACAGTAGTGTATCTGTGGTGGTTTAGGGGGCTGTTTCGGCTTTAGTGTTTTGTTCTGGAAGGGAGTTTTCTTTGTAAATGTGCTGCCGGTCCATGCGGCAGTGGCAGCTGCAGCGACGGCTGCTTGTTTCTGCTGCTGTTGCTGCTGTTGATAGTAGGAGGAAGCAGCCGAATACACTGCAGCTTCATAGCCAGAGTATGATGTTGCTGAATATACAAAAAATAACAATTATTGGCCACAGCACAACTGGAGATTGATAGGAATGCAAGTTTTAAATTGTAAATCTAGAAAACTAGATACGGTGGCTGAACTGGTAGCGCATGACCATGTTCATGGGTTTGGGGTTGATGCAGTATTAAAACGTACGGGGTGTGGAGAGGGAAGCCTTGTCAATGATCGCTACTCAAATTCTAGCCTGGCTGCGCCCGCCTACGCACTTCCGCTCAATTTCATTTTCCTTCAGTACTGCGTCTGGGACCGCTCCATATCCTTAGGTTTCCAGAAATCAATTTTTTGTAGGACCAATCAGCGAATAGAGGGAGTGGCTGAGAAAGATGACGTTGATGTAGTGCGTCAGTTTGAGTGCAGTAATGGCAGCGGAGAAAGACGTGAGAAAAGCTATTCGGTCCGTTGTTGGAAAAGAAACTGCCGAATATACAGAATTTAAAGCCGGATTGTTGTCGTCTCACCTCTTGTTGCACAACGGAGGACCAAGTGAAGGAGGCAGAAAGGTTGGAAGTTTGTGCTGGACAGCTCGTGCACAATGACCGTGACATTTTGGACTTTAGCCTGGTGTTCGCGGTGTTCGGAAGCCCCGAGTCCTGGCTGCTAAACTATTGTTGAAGATCCGCTCAGGAGTTATGTCAGTCGCTCAGATTCCCAACAGTAAATTTACTGATTCTTGTGATGAATAGAACATTTTGAGCCCCTTTGTGCACTCGTACAAGAGGTTGGTGTGTCAGTTTTACATGTTGTAAATCATACAAATTGGTTGTGATTTAAAAAAAAAAATTGTCATAAATAAAAATTTGAAAACCCATACTTTGGAGACTATATTTGATTTTCAGTTTTAGATAATTTTGATTTTTTTTTTATTTTCAATAGTTAATTTGTTTTAATAAAAAAAAAACTAAATGCCATATAAAAATGTACAAACACATACTTTGAAGACCATAATTAAGGTAATTAAGAAACAAAAATACGTAATATGAAAAATTGTTGTTTATTACACATCTGCAGACAGACTGATCATTCACTGTAACTTACAGCATTGACTGAATAATCACTGTCCTTCATGTCAAATATACATTTCGAATTAATAATTGTTCCTAGATTAACAAAACCTGCAGCTCTCGTTGACTGAAATCCTATTGTAAATTTAATCCTCTGATCATTCGGAGTTCGGACTTGTTTCTTTTTACTGTCTATGGTTGTATCCAGCCGTTTCGGCGCATGACATACGTCACTCACGACCACACATTAGCGATTGGCTATGGCAGATCGTGAGTGACTCTGGGCAGATCCAATAGATTTGAACTTTAATAGTGAACCCGCCTACAAGGAAGGAAACGTTTCTCAATTGAGGGAGGCCAGACTCTCTGTACAAATGAAATGTATGTACGAGAGTCTGGTAGAACCAGGCTACTCAAATTCAGGTTGGAAACAAATTTCAGAGTTTAACTGGAGAAATTACTTAATTCAGTTGGATTTTAATAAAGCATTTGGCTAAACCACTCAACCTTTAAAGGGGTCCTATTATGTCATTTTATGAAGTCTTGATTTTGTTTTTGGGGTGTACTAGAATGCTTTCATGCTTGATTGTTAAAAAAAAAAAAAAATATATATATATATATATATATATATATATATAAATAAAAAATATATATATATTTTTACACATATTTTACATTAAAGCTCCTCTATCTCCAGTCTGGATGAACGAGTCATTTCGAGCCTTCAAAATACGAAACGTGCTGTGACTGGTTAACTGGCCCAGAGTGATGTGATTGGTAGTGATTAAAGAGTTAGACTGATAATTAAAAAAATAAATAAATAGATCTGCAAGGTAAAGTTTACAAAGCTCAAACAGACACAATAACTAAAGTTGAAAAAGTATAACAGGACTTCTTTAAATGAGTAGGGCTGTCACAATTCCTCAATTTAAGTCGAGTAATCGTTTAAAAAAATAAAATAATTCTTTGATTGCAATTCAGCCTACCCGTGTTGATTATCTGACAAAATATACCGGAAGTTGCGCATTCTATGGACAAGAATCGCATTAGACTGTTTTACAAGGCTGCACTATATATTAAAATGGTGCATAAGTGCTGTATTGTGAACTCCTGGGCTATTGAACCCTATTGAGTCTTAAACGTCAGCGATTGGTCAAGGCAGATCCAGAGTGACTCTGGGCAGATACAATAGTTTTAAACTTCAGAGTACCCGCCTACACAAATTGTTCTTTTCAATCTTTTTTTAAACTTGCCATTGTGTAGTTTTGTTTTTGGATTTGTTAGTGTGTTTTCATTATTGTGATTTGTTTTGCACCTCTCAGCAACTATATAGTGTGGTTTGCAATGCGTACCAAACGGTTCAATACAAATACGTGTATCGTTACACCCCTACCTTATGTGTCTTTTTAATTAAAGGTGGAGTATGTGATTTTATTTGACCATTTTTTTCAAAATCACTTAAAATCCTATTAGTAACCCACTTACTGGCTGTAAATTAGAAGCACTGAAATGAAAATTAAGCAATTTAATCATCTGTGGAATGGGCAGGACTCAAAAAACTCCAGCCAAACATTTTCAAGAAAAAACTAGAATCATTGGACAGAAAACTACCGTTCTACTACCAACAGATGCGGCTGTGGCATTTTTTTTTTCTGCTTGACAGGTGAGAAGCCGATTGACCGGTGAGAAGCTGATTGACCAGTAGTATTTACTAGTGCATGAGAATTGTAGCTGTTCTAACGTTATAGCCCAGCCATATGTAGAACTAGCTAGGCCAAACAACCTGCTTGGGGAGAAAGCTGATGTGAGCGATTGTATTGATGCACCTGATTAGTCAAAATAATCAACCGATTACTTACGAAAATAGTTGGTGACAATCCTAAATGAGAACTTGGTGTCTCCAGGGCTCAGTGTACATTTCATAATATCAGATAAACAATCTGAGAACCAAGAAAATCCACAAATGCCTTTGAATAGAAGCATGATATTCTTACCAGAGTATGTGACTGCATTGGTGCTGTAGGTGGGACTCTGAGAGTATGATGGGAGTACAGAGGCAGCTGCAGCTGGCTGTACAGCAGAGGACACTGGGTAAATGGAGAAGGTTGAGGTGGCAGGGCTGGGGTTGGCTGGCTTTATGGTTGTAACCTGACGCGTTTGCTGGGTCTGAGTGTAAGCAGTGGCGCCTTGGCTGTATCCAGTTTTAGGTGCTAGAGGGAGGAGTAAAACACAGTTGTAAAGGTTATTTTGCAATACAGATCATTTAAATGGTGACCTGAAGAAGATTGATTTCATTCTGTACCCTCATTGAAAAAATACATTTAATTAATAATGCAAAAATAAATTAAATGTTAAAGCTTTTATGGAACACCAAGGTGTTTCACATTTGCAAATAAACGAATACGTGAGAATTTAAAAAAGAACTAATAAAATATTGCTTTCCATTTAAATGCCAAGATGTGTCCAGCGTACCAGTCTGATAGTAGGATTCGGCCACAGTCTGTTGTGGCTGGGCTGCTGCAGCAGCCACAGCCGGTGTAGCCACAGGTTGCTGGTAGTATTGTTTACTGTCATATGCTACAGCCGAAGCTGTGGAACGCACATATGAATAGGAGTCCTGCAACAGTAAGGGAACATGGACAAGTGTTTTTAAAAAGTTAAGCGCCCCAAGGCTGCATTTATTTGATTAAAAAAAATACAGTAACAATATTACAATTTAAAACAACTTTTCTATTTTAATACATTTTAAATTGTATTTTATTCCCGTTATGACACAGCTGAATTTGCAGGAGCCATTACTCCAGTCTTCAGGGTCAACAGTTGTGCTGCTTCATGTTTTTGAAAACCGTGACACTTTCAAGATTCTTTGATGAATAGAATGTTCAAAAGAACACCTTTTTTCAAAAAATAAATCTTTTGTAAAATTGTAAGTGTCTTTACTGTCAATTTCGATCAATTTAATGCATTCTTTCAGGATAAAACCAATAATAGATTTTTTTTTAAATCTTGCTGACAATCTTTTGAACAGAAATGTACAAAAGTAGAACTAAAAGTAAAAATAAAATGTGCTCTTTTACCTGGTAGTTTTGTGAGGTGACTGGAGGTGGTGGTGGGGGTACCTCCTGTTGTCTCTGTGCATACCCGTAATCTGTGGCAGCGTGGGCTGGCTGGTATCCTGCATAAGCAGCAGCAGTAGCCGCAGCTGCTACACCGACTGGTGCAGGCCTAGCAACAGCAACCGTGGCAGCTGTAGGGGCGTATGCTGCCGCTACAGTGTGCGCCGCCACCGGTGCTTGATGCACAGTATAGCTGGCCACTGTAGTGGGGTGGGTGTATGCTACCCCAGCGCCCGGCTGCTGACTGCAGAAGAGAGGACCAGAGTCTTAGATGACAACACTGACAACTTGGGCTACCAATATCTGTGCTGAACTAAAGCATGTGTAATATAAATTTAACACTTGCAATTAATATCTCTCTAAAACATAAGGGTAGCTGACAAAATACGTTCGGGAAGTTGATGAGATCTAAAATGCAAGGATTAATTATATATGCATGTGAAAAAAGAATTCATAAATTCCACAATATAAACTTTTATAAAATGACACTAAAAACGTTAAAATTCTGCAGATGACATTTTGAGATGTTCATGTTAACATCCAACTCACTCCATGACATTTTCCCCCAGTTTCACAGAAGCCCAAGACTAGTCCTAGAGTAAAAAGCAGATCATATGTCTGTGCCATTGTTTTTTCTAAGATGCACACCAGTAATATTTTTTCTAAAACATTTATAAAAGCTACTTAAAGGGGCTAAAAAGGGGGCATGATGATGCACTGGAGCCACTGAGCTCCTGAACTAGGGATGTAAATTTTTTTTTTTTACAAATTCCCATGATCGATCGTCGTTTAAATTAATCAATTATTAATAGTCAGCATTAATGGCAAACAGCATTACAGGTTCTGCAAATGCTGCTCAAAAAGCTATGTTCCTCAACTGGGGCCTCATTTATAAAACTTTGCGTAGGATTTGCGTCAGAAGTGACGGATGAAACACAGGACGTGCGTACGCACAGAAATATTCGCATTTATAAAACCGTGCGCACGCACATCCTACGCATTTTTCCCTTAATAAATCACAATCAATTCTAAATGTAGCGCAGCTTTTGCGGCGTCACGTCACGCCCATAGTTGCCCATAAATAGTCCGTGAAATGCCCACAAGTTAATGTTCATCGATTGTGAAATCATGTTAAACACAGAGAGGAAATTAAAAAAAACGTAACTTCACTCAATGTGAAGTAGAAGTTATCGTTGGCAAGGTGGAAAAGAGGAGAAAAATGTTGTTGGAGGGCACAGTGTGGGCATTACTAATGCCAAAAAGGCACTGGAGTGGCAAAAGGTTGCAGACGCCGTAAATGCTGTAGCCTCACAACCTCGGACTGGGGCCGAAATAAAAAAAGAAATGGTCGGACATCAAAGTCGAGGCAAAAAAGTGTCTAGTCATTAATTCAATTAGAGAGGTGGCCAAGGAGTTGGGCGAAATCAAGACTGTCCTAACTGAAATAAACTGCACAATGAGGGAATTCTTGAATAAATAATATATATTTATTCCACACCTTTTGTTGTGAAGATGATGCGTTCACTCCGAATGTTTATAAATGAGGCCCTCAGTGAGTAAGAATGGTTATTAATCTAAATAAGGGTTAGTATGATTGTAAAATGTTTAGATGTGATTAGGCATGGGCGGTATCCAAATTTTCATACCGTCAAACCTCCTCCCTATTTTACCGCGGTATACGGTATTACCGCGTGACTAATTAAAAATTACGAGATAAGGCTCAGACGGCATCACACATGATGACACGTTCAACCAGAGAGTGTCGGTTCCAATAATGCATCTAAAAGCTGTCAATCAACTATTAGAAAACAGGGACATTGTCTCACACCAGAGAATGTGAGAAGAGTGGTGATATTTCCTCTAGAGAGGGGAGCGCATTTCTGAAGATCACGCGCCACGAGCTCTCGACGCGAGCCAGTGGAGCCGAGATAAAATTATTTATTAATAAACTAGTGTTTTCTATGTCAGTTGCTGCAAAGATAAAGATTGCATTGACGATGCATACTGGCATCTTCATGGTATGAAAACACGAATAAAGAGTAGCCTAATGCACACTTCATATGAATAAGCCTATAGCAGAGAGCAGCCCATTTCTTTTAGCTTGTAATTGTTTTGTTTAAAAGTATAGACATTTCAAGCTTACATATATATACACTTCTCAGATCATTAAGACATGTATCTTATATGCCGAGTTTCAGTTCATGTATGAATCGCGCTCCAGTCACGCGTCGGCGCGTGTCCTGATTACTATCTTTGCTTTTTATTTATTAGCCTAATCCAGGCAATTCGTTGATGAAAAAAAATAAATAAATGAAGATGCAATTTATTCAAAACGAAATTCGTTTTAAAGAAAGGCTTTGTACAAAACAAAACGTAATAAGTGGTCATAATCATGTCTGACTGACCCAACGTGTTTTCTATGTCAATTGCTGCAAAGATAAAGATTGCATTCAAACTCGCATCTCCGCGGTAGTGAACGCGAATAAAGAGTAATGCACACTAGGCTACACACTGTAAACCCTAATGTTGTCTTTACTTAAACAATCAAGTGTACTTGACTAAACATTACTTGAAATTGTGCATTTTGGCGGGGTCACTCAAAAATATAAGTTCAAATAACTAATTTACCTTCAAAATACAAAAACTTAAGATTCCAAGTGCAGTGAACTCAAAATAATGATTAAAACTTACAAAAGGTCATTTTCACAAATTTTTTTAACTGTGAAATGATGATACATTCATACATGCTTTCTTCAAGTGCAAGGTGTCATTCTTATTTTACCAAAAAACAAATGGCTTTCATTTTACAATTATTGATCGTAATGGAAATAAACGTTTATTTAAAAAAAAAATCCTGATACTTTAAACTTCATAAATAAACTTTAATATCTGTATTCAAGTGTTTTTGTAATACTGTGGGTTGCAGTTTTCACTCAGTAGCCTTTTTTATGCAGTAAACAACATGTACAGAACAATAAAACAAACAAAATACAAGCTCATACATTTCACGTGCACATATATGCCACGTGACAAAATGCATGAAAGAGTTCCTCACATCAGCCACCAACCAAGTATCAATGAAAAAATAATATACAAACTTACAGAAATACAGCGACGACACATTATGTTTAACGTTAAATCAAATTCATTTCAAATCGGTTTAATTAAAATGTCTCTCTCTGATCTTCCTCTGATGCGATTGGCCACGCAAGGAGTTCTGCCTGGCAACAAGAAAACTAATGCACTAATTGGTGGATTTTAAAATTGGTGATTTTCGCATCGTCTGTTGCTGCTGCTGCTGCTGACACAAGTTCAAATCTCAAGACGGGAGGTTTTCTTTGTGTAACATTCTCGGTAAGTAGAATTATTAATATATAAAGTTATTTTGTATGACTTTTTAACTCTGAAATATGTTTATTTAAATCCTTGCAAGGTTAAAAGAGAACGCAGCCAACGTTAATTACAATATTTCCTGGTCAAACTTTTCCAACATAACGTTTTATCGATGGTTTTGTGATGATATGATAACTGCGATATCAAACGATTCTTTAATTTATTAGTTCAATTGTGTAATCGTGTATTTCTCTGCAAAAGATCATAGTTAACTAACGTTAACTTAGCCTAACGTTACTTTAGACCAGTCAACCTAGTGATGTTTTTTTTCTTTTTTCTGGTCAAACTTCGACAACCTCGACATCAATTAACGGTATTTTCTTCATGACTTTGTGATAGTATGATTATTGAAATGTCAACAGCTTATTTCTTATTTTACTAGCGAGATAAGTTAGCTAAGTTACACATTTGATGATCTTTTTCCGTGCAAGAAAGAACATGGCAGCTACTGCACAGACCATGTGGGTTATTTTTCCCATAGATTTTTCCCGGGCAAACTTTGTCAGTTTTACCCGTAACTTTAACGTTAATTGCAAATATTTTCATGATACATTTCTGATTGACTGAGATAAGTTTTAAGAACATTGTTACTATAGCTAGGACGAATTAGTGATGTTTCGTCACGCTTGTCACCAGTAAGTTAATTAAAACGATTTAATCATATGGAAAATACTATAGTCAATGCAAACTAGCAACTTTTGGCTACAAACAAAACCATGCACAAAACTGTTTGAGCATGAGTACTTGATAATTTTCATTTTTGAGTGGACTAAGTTATTCCTTTAACGTGCTAAAAATATTTCTTAGCCTCTAAGTTACATTTGTTTCCTAATTAAGCAATAAAGCATTTCTATGTGCACACTGATGTGATTATGTGATCTGTCTTTATCTCCCCTCAGATCTGAGTTCAACAGAAAAAAACCTAAAACAGGATTTCTACTTCTACAGAACATACAGTTCATGGACCTTTTTACAGCCAAAAGGGGGACTCCTGGTCAGTACTTGGCTAACGTTTTAAATCAAATAAAGGTTAGTAATGGTTAATAATAAATACAGGTTTTGTCTTATTTAAAATAACTAACAGGATAACTTTTACTCACCCTCAAGGTGTTCTAAACCTGTATACATGTATTTGTTAAAGCTGAACACAAAGGAAGATATTTTGAAGAATGTTTGTAATTGAACAGATTTGGATACAATTAATGTCTGTGGTATTTGTATTTATTTATTTTTTTTTTTAAGCATGTAAAAGTCAATGTTGGCCCAAAACTGCTTGGTTACAAACATTCTTCAAAATGTATTCTTCCTTTGTATTTAGCTGAGCAAAGAAATGTACAGGTTTGGATTGGAATAACTTGAGGGTGACTAAATGATGACAGAAATTTCATTTTGGGGGAACTATCCCTTTAAAAGCATTTAATTTTGTCAGCATTTAATCGTATAAAAATTCTTCAAATATATTGATTAGTTGTTGGCATTAATGGAATTTTGTGTTTTCCTTTAAAATCAGCCCAGCCAACGGAGGTCCGAACCCTTGGGATTCGAGGACAACCTATCATGCTTGGAGATGATGGTGACTCTGGGATTAAGGTTAGTGTTCTGTGTTCTTAATAGATCTAGTGCACGTTCTGAGAAACATGAATTCATAAACATTTGATTCCTGATCGTAATATTCTATTTATGTCTGTTTTTTCACTAGGTGTCTGATCATCGCAACTCCATCCTTAATGTGCCAGTGGGCATCTTATTTGAGAACACTGAACTTCAGCCCCCCAATTCCTTGTATTTAACTTCTACGATTGGAATAATACTTGAAGGACAAGTGGTGATTGAAAAAACGCAGGACCTCCCACAGGCTATGTGTCTCCTCTTCGGTCTGATCTACGCTCTAGACCAGAATTACCCCAAATCACTTGCCAATCCAGCGTGTGCTAATGTCAATGGGACAGTATTCTCTCAAGCCTAAATTGCAGTCTCTGGCAAACCAGCTTTTTGTTTAAAAAACGTCACTGTGAGACTTTAACACCACTCTGAGAAATGTTCTACAAATGATTTGCAGAAGATATATACAGTACTGTAATATTGTGCAAATATTTGGTCAAAGACACTGACTATGGTCACTATGCTTTACTTAGTTTGCTGTGATTTCATAAAGCTTAAACAAGTAAAATGTAAAAACAATGTACATTACGTGTACATGTTCAGTACATTTACAAAAATTTGAGACTTAAATGTAATGTGTAAGTGATCAGAGTTGTACAATTGATAGTGCACTACTTAATGTTGGATACTGTTGCCACATTTAGAGTTATGTACAGGGTGTGACTCATTTCCATTTGAAATTTTGGTCAATAAAGACTCAAAGGATCAATATGTTGTTCATTGTTTTATGTAAGTGCAGTGTGCACACAGCTTACAGTCAAAAATATGAGCTTTAAAATTTTGAAATAAAATTACAGTTAAATTTTCATGTTGAGTTTACTTAAATATACAAGTACAATTGATATTAACACTAAGTTAAGTGAACTTTATTGTTTAAGTACATTAAATAATCGTCAAGTTTGGTGAACTAAACAATTTAAGTAAAGTCTACATAACTACCAAGTTAAGTAAACTTAACTATGCAAGTTTTGGGAGTTCTCATTACTCAATTAAATTGAGGGAACGAGTTTACTCAAATCAATTGAGTTAAATCAACTTATTAGGGTTTTCAGTGCATATGAATTAGCCTAAACATAAGCAGAGAGCAGCCAATTTCTTTTAGATTGCAAAGAAGACATTTCAAGCGTACTATATATACACACTTCTCAGATCTTGTTTCTTATATGCGAGGTTCAGTTCATGTATGAGTCGCGCTCCAGTCACGCGCCGGCGCGTGTCCTGATCACTATATTTGCTTATTATTAATTAATCCAGGCAATTCGTTGATGAAAAAAAAAATTAAAATGAAGATGCAATTTATTCAAAACGAAATTCGTTTTAAAGAAAGGATTTCTACAAAACAAAACGTAATAAGTGGTCATAATCATGTCTGACTGACCCATTCCAAATGTTTTCCGATATTGCGCATTTTATGATCTTATCTTAGTCATCTCATGAAGTTCCCTTTTCATAAAATCAACATACATAGAAAAACATCATATTATTAAAAAATATTTAAGGAATACGTTTTTTTTTCAAACCTATCTTATATTTAAGCGTCACACGGTCCGTCCCGCTGTAGACCACATGCATGTGGCGTGCATGTGGTCGTGGGGCGCAATTTTCAAATAATAATCGAATAATACCAGGCAATCTTTAAATATTATTTTTGCTTGAAATGCCCATCCCTGCCAAACTGCAGAAGTCGTGTTCTTCTTCGAGACCAAGTCACTCGGTGCACAACTTGCAATCTTTGCCCTCTCTCCCCCACTCTCTCGTCACCACACTGTCACATCATGAGAACCAGATATAAGCATTTTAGCCATTAAATAAATTGTATTTAAAACATTGCACTTATATAGGAGACAAGGATTCCTTGTCTCCTATTTAAGTGCATTGTTTTTTTTTTCTGACGGTATGACGATATTGAAAATGATACCGTTGCTATTTTTAGATCCCGCGGTATACGATATTACAGTAATACCGCCCAAGCCTAGATGTGATTGATAAATTAAATGTAATATACAAATATAACAACAAACACAATGCATCATCACCAAAGCCGCCTCAGACGCGTGCTTGTCAGAACGTGAGACTGTTGTGGACGTGCACTGAAAACGTTAACTAGGCTTAACCCAATTAATTCACAACCATTTAATAAAATAGTGCTCTCATGTTATATAATATGACAGTCCCAAATTAACCACTGTTATTATTAGTCGTGCATTCGTCTTGAGCAGCGCGCGCTGAATAAATAACCGTTGACGATGAATAAGGGTCTTATCTAGCGAAACGATTGTCCATTTAAAAATAAAAAAATAAATAAAAAAGTTAGTTTTATGAGCTCAAATGCTCATCTTGCTCTGTTCTGTGAGGAGTGTTCACAGACTCTCCTGTTCAAAACGTTCATCAAAATGAACAAATCTTTTTTCGAGTCGTGACTCGAAGGGTCCTAGATAAGACCCTTATTCATCGTCTGGTATGGTTTAAAGCTGCACTGAAACTGTCATTTGGATCTTGACTTGAACCGTTTGGTTCCCAATGAAGTCCATTATATGGAGAAAATCCTGGAAAGTTTATCAAAAACCGTAATTTCTTTTCGACTGAAGAAGATAGATGTGGACATCTTGGATGACATGGGGGTGAGTAAATTATGAGCAAAAGCTTTTTTTTAAGTGAACTACTCCTTTAATTTTGACTTTAAAATGCCCTACTTGAACTACGGCCTAATCCTGGCTTGGACTAAGCCCCGTCTGTGAAACCGGGCCATTATCTTGGAGATTAATTCATAATAACCTTTTCTGATGGCTGGAATTAATGCAACAAATCCATTGACTTGACAGAAGATTCATGTAGAAAATCAAATCAGTGATGGATTAAATTAGTTAAATCATTTTATTGATGAAAAGGCAGAGAAAATGTCATCCGAATACTAATTCTCTTACTCTAATCGGTCTAAAAGCTGAAATAACATTGAGTTGTAACACACCATTCACCAAAGGCATCTCAAATCTAGAAGAGCTAAATTAATCAATAGTCTGTGGCAGAGTCTAACCACCATCCATGTATAAACTGCAAATATTTTCAACATGTAAAGTCATCAGAAAACTTCAGAAATAAGATCTAGCTTATGATAAATAATCAACATATGGAACAGTGACAAAACACCCAAACAGGAATAGTAGAACTACAAAAAAGGGCCTACTAAACCCTTTAAAAAGTGGATCAGGAGTGACATTCAAAGAGTCCTTGAGGGGCAAGACATCGCCCTTCCAAAGCACAACCACACAATGTATAATTTATTCGGCTAGATTTAACATCTTTGTTCAACGACAATAAAATGTCAACAGTTATAGTAATAGCGTGGCGCGAGCACGTAAATGTGCCTTTTGCGCTTCCGTCTACACACTTGTTTAAAGAAGAGCGTCGAGCTGGACGCGCATGCGCAGGGCTGCTCTAGTGCAGAGCTGGAGGAGAGATGACTGACAGCTGCAGTCTACTTCATTTTTGGCAGCTCGGACTAAACTCATTTATCCAAACAAGTGAATATCAGAATTATTTCACATCACAATTGAAACGTCGGTCCAAACCAGTCTGAAGTTAATGTTGACAAGTATTTACTAAACCTCGACTCGGCCATTAGTTTCAAAACAAAAATGTTTACATTCATAACTAAAGCGTCCAGATATTAAACCACCTGTTTATTTTTAACTATGATCACAGAATTAAATTGTGCACACTGCGGGTCACTAGTTACACCAAACGTTAATATTAATATAAAAAAAACAGCTTTAAATTATATAGCGGTAATATAACCTCCTATTTGTAGTTTGTCCAGTAATTATATTTTTCACGTGATGGTCCCCGGAATAAGCAATTAAACGCCTCTCGACTCTCCCATATATATATATATATATATATATATATATATATAAAAGACAAAGTCACACTATATTTAAACATGTGTATGTAAAATACATGCGAGAATGCATCGTTTTCTCTCCAGCCGCTTATCTCGAGGCATAAAACTATATAGCCAATCGCCTCCCTCCACTACCCCCACCCAAATCCAGCAACAAAGGCAGCGGGGCCAAATCCCACCATTACTGTACGTCCACCACCATCAGCGCAATCACCATTAAACATCGCGGCCCTTACCTGTACTGGGCCGCCGCACCGTGGGTAAAACCAAAGTAGTTGCCGGTGGCCATTTTGGCATCTTCACCAAGCCGGCTGGGCACTGAAAAATAGACAGATTCATGGGGGTTAAGCGACTGTGCGAAATGGCAACCATGATGAAGAGCCGTATCATGCGGAGGAAGAGAGCACGTAGGAAGCTACGACGACAGAAAGCCGACGATCCACGCACCACCGTAGCATGATCCCAAAAACATCCTCTCCCTTTTGAAACGCGCACTGATATCTCAATGTGCTTTTAAAAACCCAATTTTACTCACCATAGGTGAAGGAGACTACTGGACATATGGGAATCATTGGTTTCCTATTCTCTAACGAACTCTGACTCGTAACCCTGCCTTTTTATATGAGAAGGTCGTACCAGGATATGGCGCTTACCGCTCATGCGTGATGGGCCTTGCGCGAGATGGGAAGTGTAGTTTTTCTTAAATCCAGTTTCAAGGTCATTGACTACAACTTGTTATTCTTTCTTTCTGCCTTCACATACAATCGGAAGTTTCCTACTTTCCTTTTCTGAAGTCCTGATTACAATTTTTGATTTTAGAGGGCGCAAACTAGTATTTACAATAAATCCGAGTTGCATTAAACAAAACATCTATGATTAGTGATAGGAAGCAAACGAAACAAAATGGGCCATTCTTCAGAATTGGTGCAAACTGCTGTCCCACAACCAAAAACAGATTTAAAACCATTTAAGTATTCAAATTTTAGATGTTTACTAAGATCATTTTATTATCTATTGAATCACAGAATAATATAAGTAAGCTAAATAGCCTACATACACGGACCATAATGTATTGGTTACAGTGCTGTCCCGAACCTAAACTTGTGAAAATGATACTGAAATGTTTTTTTTTCATTGTTGTTTTTAAAAAAAGCTTTTTGATTTCTGATATTTGATATTTTATTTTTAAATCATAAAACTTTAAGCAAAAAAAAAAAATTTCCCGCATTTTCATGTCACAACTGAAACAGTGTTTGTTTTAGTACATTGGTGGAGACTGGTTTTAACCATAGATATCTATATAAAGGCTAGATATGTCATCCACGCTTCTGGCCAATGGAGGTCGACGTCTGCACCTGTCGGCCATCTTGTCACAGGCAGCTCGCTCACTCGTAACATTGTGTTAATGGTACATGTACTATTTAAATGACCATAACTTGCTTTTCTACCAATTTTCAAACGGTTTGTTTTGTTATAAACGTCATAGATGTAGTTATGACACTACATACTTATGAATAAAAAGTGTATAAATAAATAATCATCCAGAATGATAATTATAACCACGTTAATAACGTTTGTAAGAAACCAAACCGTTTGTAAATCCGTCAAGATTTCAACGAGATAAGAGTATTTGTGTTCGTGCTGACCACTCATCTTACATCAGCTTACCTGTGACAAGATGGCCGCCGGTGATGACGATGGAAACTCCGCCATAACACGTCTAGCCTTTATATACATATCTATGGTTTTAACCACAACCCTACATTTTTGATCAGGAAATAGTCTCTCATAGCCTCTCTTTCAATGTAGATAAGTACCATCATTTTGAGGGAAATGTGTTTGAATGTCTGAAAATCTGTGACTGTAACTTACATCATTGTTTATGTTGTTACAGCTGAAAGCGTCTATAAATACAGTCCATTTTGCGTATACTGTCAGGAGCCATCTTTGGAAAAGAGTCTCGACCAGTCGAACCACGAATCGCGTTTGTGAAATCTAATTACATGGAAAAACATGAATTATATTTGTTTAAGTCTGCCCTGTCTGGGGAAAGTACGGAAAGGGCAAGAGTTTTTTTTTTTTTTTTTTCGGTCATTCATGCAGATCAATGAGCAAGACTTCAGCTGGCGATGCAAACTAAAATCACGCAATAATTGTTCTAACTTATATATCGAAAAGGCAGTGTCGGATTCTGCAGTCACGCACAGTTGCTCTCCATCGACTGCGCTGATCAGAAGCATGATTGCAGATACAGAGCATTACAGTAACCAAGACACGAAGAAATAATAAGCATAAATTACTTTCTCCAGGTCACTGAATGAATAGATTTAAGTTTAGAGATATTTCGCAATTGAAAGAAACTATTCTTCACCACCAAATTGATCTGTCTATCAAATTTCAATTCAAAGATAAAACCCAGATTCTTAACCTGCATGTGTCTTCAGATTGACGTAATATTATTATTAGTACCTGATTACAATTCCTGCTATTTCATGTTAGGCTATGAGTTTGAAATGCGTTAATGACCTGTCTTTTAAATTACATGGTATATATATACTAGCATAACAGAAGCAATAGGTTGTGAAATCTAAGCATTTCTCATTCTACTGTTTTTTAGTTAGCTTATGTACTAGTCTAGCATAACATAGCTGATTAGCCTGCTAAGCCTATAAGCTTAGCTTATATTGGGTATGGTTTTTTGCTTCCAATTTAGTTCTCAGTATACATTTCAAATTAATGATGTTTGTTTGAAAAAGCATTATAATTGTTGTGTAAAATTACATAGCATGTTGCAACAATCCTTATAATGAAAAAGTAATAATTGTTAGGCATGGTTGTTTTTCAGTTTGTTTTAATGGACATCTCCACACTTAATGGACATCATCCAATAGTTAAAAAGGTAATGACTGTAATGATTAGTCAAGACACAACATGACAACAACTTTTTATCAGGCTTTACCGCTTGGGTCCTTAAGGAAACCCAATTGGGGAGGGGGGCCATGAGGGGGACTCGATTTTTAATGAAACGGCTGAAGCATTTTTTTTTTTTTTTACAGTGAACCTGAACCTGAATGCTGAAGGATCTATGCGAACTACATTTCCCACAATGCCATCTAAGGCGTTATTAGCCTTTTGGTTGGTTGTCGATTCCTCGACTTCCCGCCGCTAAACGTGACTGACTGTTACCCACTGCACAGCGTAAACGTAAGTCCTATTCAATTAATATAAAAGCGAACAGTAAACCGTCAATTTTAGACATGCACTTGTTAAATGAGCGCACAGACATGAAGAATTATAAAGACCAATCATACAAAAACGGCATGTGTCATTCAGGGCCTATTTGCCCACCTTAGATTTGGGATGAAGAGGCCCTTGATAAGCCCCGCTATTATATTACGTTACTTGTCCGGTGTTTGAACTAACGTTACATCAGCTAGTCTTGGTTGAACAACCAAACCAATTAAGCAATGTAATGTCCGTTCCCATATGTGAAAGCAAATTGCTGAAGCGAAGCCATTATTGATCTGGGAATCCTCAACTCAACCCTTGCTTTATGGATATTTTCGACCAAGATGACAATCCTCTCGTAATTACTCTGCGATCGTTGGAAGGGAAGGGATGCGCAGCTAACTTGGTTCTGATCGTTTTTAAAAATCTATGCAAAATTCAAGTTGGATAGATTAAGAAACGTGTCTCTTTGCAGCATGTTAGAGCTAGGAAATGTGTTTTGCATGTGGTTTTAGAACGTTTACTTTAGTACTTTTTAAGAACCAATGTTGGTCGACTTCAAATAAACCTCATATTGCCATAGTTATAATGGAAACCCTGGGAATATCCGTGAATCTTATAATTGAATTTCAGGTCAGGGAAAGTCTAGCTAGAAATTCATTAAATCTTTAAAAAATGCATTAAATCTTTAAAGTTTTTCTGCCTACCCTTAGATTTAATCCATTACAATATGATTTAATTGTTAGTAGTTGAACCATTAAACCTGTTAATAAGTAAAGCTTTTAAATAATTTGGTGTCTGATAACTTATTAGTTTGTTCTGAGTAATCTGAGTAATTTTTTTTGCATATAAGCAATGTTGTGTAACACTTGTGCAGTGATGACTAAATATATTTACATATATGGCATTTGTTGTTATTTTATTTTGTATTACTAATTAATTAACCTATTTTCTAGCTTTTATTTACTTCAATGAATTAATTTCCACAGAACTTATATTCACAACAGAAATGTCCATAGTTTTTTTTTAGATTATTGTTAGGTTCTTTAAGTGGCCACATGGGGGCAGTGTTGAATAATAGTTTACATAAAAATGATTCTTGTTTGTGTTCAGCAGCATGCCTAAGACTAAAGAAGTGCCATCTTCCTCTTCTGGCAGTGATTCAGACAGTGATACAGAAAAAAAGGTATGAACATGGATTTACACAAATGTATCAAAATGAATGTAGCCTTTGCCATTGGAAACTAAAGTAATTTTTAGTCCTTAAATGTGTGTCCTCATTTTCACCAAAGGTCAAAAGAAAGAAGGCCAGCGCTCCTGACAAGCCTGCAAAAAAGCAAAAAAGCGGAGAGACCTCCAAACCAAGCGGCTCTGCTAAGAGTGACATGAACAGTGATGATAACATGTTCCAGGTTGAGTTTTTTATTATTATTTTTTTATTACCAAACTTTATCTCACTTATTACAAAACTACTTTGCAAGTATGGGAGTGAATCATCACTGGTCTCTTGATTGAATTTGATTATAAGGATCATGTCAATGATTTAATATCACGTTGTGTTGCGATATTTAAGGTTATAATAATGCTCACACCCACACACGCAGACCCTTGCACACACTGACGTCAGAGAAACGTCAGTAGGCTATAACGGCTATAATCGATTATGGTGCTGCTATTATTATGCTATTATTGCATCGATGCAGAATTGGCCTCGTCTGCATTGTAGAAACGATTCATTTCAACACCCCTGTTTAAAAGTAATTAAATACATGGGCATGTAGATCTGATTTGACTTAAATCATCTTACTCCCAGTTAGCAATTAGTGTAATACAAAATAGAATCTGTGTTAGCAAAAATAGAAAAACAATTTATCTATTATTGATCTTTAATGGAGACTTACTTTTTCTATGGACTAGTCAGCTAATATATTGCTAGCCAGCTAATATATTAACATACAGTTAACTGTAGCATATCGTCTATTTTTAATTTCTTTGTGTCTTTTATCAATTCCTAGTTCCGGTTTATTTAAGGCAGGGGTTCTCAAACTCTCGGTCCTGGAGGGCCACTGTCCTGCAGAGTTTAGCTCCAACCCTGATCAAACACACCTACCTTTGAGTTTCTAGTGATCCTGAAGACCTTGATTAGCTTGCTCAGGTGTGTTTGATCAGGGTTGGAGCTAAACTCTGCAGGACAGTGGCCCTCCAGGACCGAGTTTGAGAACCCCTGATTTAAGGGCAAAAATTCCTACAGAATACACATAAAGGCTGAATAGAGTATGCATAAAGGTTCTGAAGTAATTTTGCATTGGAACCAGCATTTTATACTGTTTTTATGTTCTTTAAATTCTTAAATGCTATTGATAAGTGATAAATATTTACTGTCCTTCAAATTAATTATAATTTGTGGCTCATTCATGTTTTGATATGTGACAGATTGGGAAGCTGAGATACGTCAGCGTTAGGGATTTCAAAGGCAAGGTATTGATTGACGTTCGAGAGTACTGGATGGACCAAGCTGGTGAAATGAAGCCTGGGAAAAAAGGTGACTATGCAGCCATTTTTTTCATATATATATATATATATATATACATATACATACACACACACACTCACAGTGTTTCCTCTAAGATTTTTTCCTGCTGTGATTCCTTTGGGCCACGACCCCCTTGCCCCAGGTGTTTAAACTTCCCCTAAAGTATTATAATATGAACAGCTCCAAGAACGGTTTGGCCTAAAAATATCAAAATTGAAAATACTGTGGAAACAAAGACACCTACATCTTGTATGCCCTTGAGGTAAGCTAAAACATGTCAAAAATTAATTTCAAAGTGAACTATACCTTTAACAATAACACAATAGTATGCACAATATGCTGCAGCCGTGGCAGGATGATTTTTGGTGCGGTGGACCACCACGGCAGAATAAATGTAGCGGAAACACTGTTTATATATATAAAGTGTATATATATATATATATATAATATATAAATATTATTCCTGTCAAATCGATTAATCGAATATACCATGGTTTGAGTTTTATTTCATTTTAGGTTTTATTAGTTTTAGTCAAGTTCATACTCTTTTTAGTCTAGTCTAGTTTTAGTCGATGAAAACTGAACGACATTTGATTCTAGTTTTAGTCAATGAAAATTGTATTTTAGTATAATTTTAGTAATGTAATTATAATTAACCCAGTCAAAATAGTACAAGTAGCCTACCTAGTTGTAAAGACAACCAAAATTTACTTTTAGCCAAACCCATTTCAAACAATGTTATCTTATTATAGTATTGTTACCTTATAGACTCAAGAATACATCCATTCCAGACACAGAAGATGTTCTGATTTGAATTTACAACATATTTATTTTACCAACCAAATATGTTAGTAGTAGCCTACACACATGATGAAATGAAAGTTTTTCCAAAAGTAATTTCTTCTGTTTCTCCCAAAGACGAATCCCTTTCACTGTGTCAGACTTAACTTGTTTGTTGTCATTTATGCTAATGGCTGTTTCACACATACTCCGTTTGCAGTGCGAATGTAGTGCACATTGTTCCCGCACCCATGTTAATAGGTTATGGTTCGAGCGCTCACACCACACGCGGATGCGGTCCGGCAATGCGCTGCAGGAGTGGTGCGTGCATAACAGCAGAGCAGAGATCTACACAGTACCTCAACAACGCGACATAATGGATGTAGGCTAAAAATATTGATTTGAAATAAAAAAATATAATACTGAATAGTAATACTGAATTGTACTGAAAGAATAAATACTGTGATTGGTGTACAGCCGGAGATCTGCGCACTGCAAACGCAGCATTGAAAGCACAATAGAGCGCGCTGCTCCTGCATGCACACCGCAACACGCACCGCATACGCTCTACACATGGAGTAGCCTATGTGTGAAAAAGCTGTAACTCGCGCAGCTGCATCTTCTAAATAATGCCGCGAGTGGGGCTCAAGGATGTGAAGTCGCCCGTGTCTGCGCAGTGCGATCTGATGCAGCCCCTGAAGTGATGAGCCCGATCTCATGAAAGTTCGTATCTATAGCACGAATGTCATTTCTCGTGACATTTATACGCCAAAAACAGTTTTTGAATGCGTATAATACCAGTCAATATCAGTACCTCGTCAGTATTTCTTACACCCTTTTATTGATGGACAGTGTTACATTATGTGAGAGATTATTTGCTCCAAGTGAGAATGTTAGTGTGAAACTGAATACAGTATAGGCCAATGTTGTTTTTCAATAAAAAAAAAAACAATTGCACAAAGCAAGCCGATCCATGTTGATGATGTTGATAAGAGCATTAAAAAGAGAAAAAAATAATGTGGCAAAAAGAAATCAAGAGACATTTAGAATAGATGAAAATGTGTGATCAATCGCGCATTAACTAATATTAATGCGATTAATCGTGATTCAATATTTTTATCGTTTAACAGCACTAATATATATATATATATATATATACACCGTATAGGGAGACGCAATTTCACAAACAGTCCAAGTGATTCAGCTGTGCTGTGTCTTCTCTCTTTCATCTATCAAAATGCTGCAGGCGTCGATACTACGCTCGCTTTTAGGAGTCGGAACATGACCGAATATTCAATTGCATAATCGGGCCAGCATTGCATCGTGACTAAAGTTTACCATTTGCACGTCTATTCAATCCTTACCAGATTAAACATTTAAGCAATTTTAAAGGGTTAGTTTGGTATTTTACACTTAAAGCCCTGTTTGACATCGTTTCTGATTAAATAGAACGGTTAAGATTGAAATTTGGATAAATGCTGCTGTCCCGAGAAATTTAGGTTTCTGTGTTTGCATTAGAACCTTTGCATCTGTAATTACATTAAATCTAATGGTACTTTGAACTAATTTCAACAAAGAACAATTTAGTGTGTCGGCGTCCTCGTGAAGGTTAACAGGTTAAGTGCAGGTAAAATATTTCTTTAATTTGATTTACTGTCTTATAGTTGTTTTTGTTCCATCAATTGTATTGAATCACCCTCAGGCATCTCGTTGAATCCTGAGCAGTGGAATCAGCTGAAGGAACAAATGTCGGACATCGATGATGCAATTAAAAAATTGTAAGATCACATGGTTGGTTGGTTCTTTTTAGAGTTCCATACTTTGGTACATGGGGACTTAACTAAATGTTTCCTGTTTCAACTTGTACTATATGTATGCTTTTGTTATGTTATTGTTAATTTCCAACAGTCTGCTGTTAAATTTTGATGTGTGTACATAAGTCTCGACTGGGTGATTGTTATTTTAATAGTCTAATAGCTGCATTCTTCTCTTACTCTGCCTACACAATAAAGGCTTTTTTGGTTTGCAGTTTTCAGTGTTTCATTTTTAGTATGACTTAAATACAGTGTGCTTATTATCTATAGAAATTTAACCCATGTTTTGATGTTTTCTTCCCTAAACCATGTTAAAATTCAGATTTTTAAACTTGTGATCCTGACAATAAACAGAGCACTAATGGATGACCGAAAAATGAAGGCGTTTTTCACTTTATGATACTTCTTGTGTCCAGTCCTAAATGCTTGTGTGTTATTTGCTCGCCTACGCGTGGGAGCAGGAATTATAATGGTCCATACACCCACTCAAATATAGACCAGACTCCAGAATAAAAACAGCCCTTTCTCTTGACTGTCCAGAAGAGCCATCTTGCATCAATTGCATTTGCTGTCTAAATTAAATCAATCTTAAATAATGGTAGCCACTGTATTGCCAGCATGTATTTGAGACGATATGGTTTATGGTGTTGCGTGCAAAGGAAGCATTATTCAGACGGTGTCTGTAAGAGGAAACCACAGTTTGAGCACATTTTCAGATATTTGTCAGTCCTGTCGGTAAAAAGTGGCCTACATTATTGAAAAAATTTCAAGTCAGTGACAGTTCAAGCCTAATTTGTTTAAAATAATTCTGTATTTTCAGCTTCAGAATCATGAATATTTTTTTATTCTGGTGTCACCATTGTCCTGTGCATTGGGTTATCAGCACCAAGTCCAAGCCTTTTCATTTACACCCTCAATGTAATATCAAATTTAGCATTATAATCGACTGTACATTTTTTTTAACAGGCTTTTACTTTGTCTTGGGAGTAGCACAATAATATCCTATCATGAGTTCAGTATCTTGATGTATTTTGAATTGTGACATGAGGGTGTATATATATATATTTAAACAGCGGGGAGATCAAGTATTTGATACACTGCTGATTTTGCAGGTTTTCCCTCTTACAAAGCATGTTGAAGTCTGTAATTTTAATCATAGGTACTCTTCAACTGTGACTGACAGAATCTAAAACAAAAATCCAGAAAATAACATCGTATGATTTTTAAGTAATTCATTTACATTTTAATGCATGACATTTGTTCAGTAGTATTTGTTCACCTACCAACTGGTACGAATTCCAGCTCTCACAGACCTGTTAGTTTCTATTTAAGAAGCCTACCTGTTCTCCACTCATTACCTGTATTAACTGCACCTGTCCACACACTCAATCAAACAGACTCCAGTCTCTCTACAATGGTCAAGACCAGAGAGCTGTGTATGGACATCAGGGATAAAATTGTAGATCTGTTCAAGACTGGGATGGGTTACAGGACAATAGGCAATCAGCTTTGTGAGAAGGCAACAACAGTTTGTGCAATCATTAGAAAATGGAAGAAGTTCAAGATGACGGTCGATCTCCCTTGGTCTGGGGCCCATGCAAGATCTCACCTTGTGGGGCATCAATGATCATGAAGAAGATGAGGGATCCGCCCAGAACTACATGGCAGAGCCTTGACCACAGAGAGCTTGGACCACAGTCTCAAAGAAAACCATTAGTAAAACACTATGCTGTCAAGGATTAAAATCCTGCAGCGCACGCAAGGTCCCCCTGCTCAAGCCAGCGCATGTCCAAGTCTGAAGTTTGCCAATGACTATCTTGATGATCCAGAGGAGGAATGGGAGATGGTCATTTGGTCTAATGAGAAAAAATAGAAGTTTTTGGTCTAAACTCCATGCCCCGTGTTTGGAGGAAGACGGATGAGTAAACCCAAGAACCCCATCCCAACCGTGAAGCATGGAGGTGGAAACATCATTCTTTACACTCTAAAAAATGCTGGGTTGTTTTAACCCAACTTTGGGTCAAATATGGACTAACCCAGCCGTTGGGTTAAATTTTTACATTACATTTTTAACCCAACATTTCGGGTTTGTCCATATTTGACCCAAAATTGGGTTAAAACAACCCAGCATTTTTTAGAGTGTAGGGATGCTTTTCTGCAAAGGGGACAGGACGACTGCACCGTATTGAGGGGAGGATGGATGGGGCCATGTATTGCGAGATTTTGGCCAACAACCTCTTTTCCTCTGTAAGAGCATTGATGATGGGTCGTGGCTGGGCCATCCAGCATGACAATGACCTGAAACACAGAGCCAGGGCAAGTATGGAGGGGCTCCATTAGAAGCATATCAAGGTCCTGGAGTGGCCTAGCCAGTCTCCAGACCTGAACCCAATAGAAAATCTTTGGAGGGAGCTGAAAGTCCGTATTGCAGTCTGTGCAAACCTGGTCAATAACTACAGGAAACGTATGAATTCTTTTTGCAAACAAAGGTTTCTGTACTAAATATTAAGGTCTGCTTTTCTGATGTATCAACTACTTATGTCATGGGATAAAATGAAAATGAATTAGTCATACAATGTGACTTTCTCAATTTTGTTTTAGATTCTGCAGTGTATCAAGTACTTTTTCTCCCCACTGTATATGCACGCACTACGTCATAAGTATCAAATGCATCTTAAGGTTTGACCATCAAGCTTTTTCATTTCATTGCACTTCAGGTGGTGGTTACTATGGAGATCCAACCATGGAGGTTGGTTTTAAGTTCCTGAGAGGTAATCATTTCATGTTTTGATTTGTGATTGCATTTCACTCTTTTACCTTTATTTCTTTGACCAAATGCTGGCACAATGCTAAACTATTAAATATCAAGCTCTTTGGACCTCCTGTGCACAGTCAATAATGAACTAATGTTTGTGTGCAAAATTCCCACGATAAAAAGAAACATTTTATTGGTGGACACACTAAGTCTGAGTTTGGCATAGTGTCCAATGATTTGAAAATCGAAACTTCAGTTAATTGCCATATTGCTAAAATGTTCTGTGTTTAATACAAAAATGCCTTAGATTAAAATGAACCCTGCACATTCATGTCAATTTGAAAATGTCTAATGTCATACAAAATAAAGACACATCACTAGGTGGCACCAATGCTCTATTGAAATGAAAACTTCTAATAGTTTTTAGTCACACTAAAACCATACTCAACCTGTCAAAGTTTTGAATAATGTAACAAAGTTTTTTTTTAATGACTAATAATTGTACAGTACGCATTGCCATTTATAAATTGAAGGTCTTTAGTTCTAGTTCATAATTATCAATATAACAATTCTAATAACAGTGAGTCAGTGTGTTTTTGACTTTCTGATGCAAATTTCTTTCCATCACATGTTAGTTGTTGATAGGAAAGGAATTTGTTTCACAACTCTTGGCAGTGCATCAAACACTGTTAATGCATGAGAATTTCCTTTTCCACCAGTGTGTGATAGATATTTCTTATGAACACATTAAACTGAGCGATGTGGATGTCAAGAGGAGTCACATTCAATTGTTCCATTAGAACGTGTTACAAGTTGTGCTTTGGTCTGCAATTTTTTTAATGAAAGCACAAACACAGCGCAAGATCTCTACCATCTGTCCACTAAACAGGAATCGGTGGAATGTCCCTGATAGCTGGAAGCGGTTTTAATCGCCCATGCAACCTGAATTTTCTTTGATTTCTTGTACTTCATTTTGATGGTTTTATGATGGATTGAGGAATATGAAGAACATCCTGCAAAGAGAAGCCAAGCGGGTGTGTTGCACTAGTTACCAGTGGAGCACTTTAGGTCACTCATGCCTCAAAAGTCCAACATCTGCTTCCATTTGAAGGGTCTGCTGTGAGCCTGCCGATTGAACATTGTTGTCTGTGGTTCTTGGACTGGTTCATGTGTCATTGAGTATTGCATCGCATATTTCAGTGCTTGAGTTTCAGGTTATGATTACATCTGGACATGGGAATATGCTGGGGCGTGTAGCTCATCTTTGGGCTAATATCAAACTGCCGTGGATTTTACAGAAGAGAATAACGCATGAGGAAACCCTTTCAGCCCAGTTTTGATGGATGTCTCAGCCTCTGTTGTTTTACTCCATGGTGGCTAATATAACGGATACTGTTTCATGGAAGGAATTTGTTCTTCCATTGAGATGTGAAATGCATATTGATTACCGGGCGCCTTGAGTTCCCTGTCCGTGACAGGGATGGTATTGGCTGGAACCCTCTCTGGCTGTGAACTACAGTCCGTTATTGCCAATTTGTCTACAGTTGAATTATCTTTACAATGGACAAATTATATTAAGAAGTTTATAGGCCAGAATCCCTCCTCTTGACCCCCTGGTAAGGATAAAATCATTCATCTCAAGTGGGTCAGATGAAAAACAAGTCCACTTAGACTTCACCCTGGCGCATAGTTCTGGCTCTCGTGCATTTCAGCAAAATGTACTGTCATTCTGTGTATAGCACTATTCATACAATTAAAAAGCAGAGAATGTGTTGGTGTTCTGGCTGGATTCATGGAATGGCCAGAGTGTGTCAGTTAGATAATGGCTGCAGTTGACTTTGGCATGGATACGTTCTGCCTACATGTGAGGTCAGTTTTGGTGAAGCTGCCACAGAAACGAAGATGATTCATCAGTATAACCCTAAAGGTGGTCAAGGAATCAACCGAGGGTGAGATGAAATACTGCTTTGCTGACTGTAATGATAAAACAGACATCTAGATGTTCCAGCTGGAATAATCTGTTTGATTTCGCGTTGATCTTCAGCTTTATGGATTCAAATCAAAGAAGACGGAGACGTTCCGTCGGATGATGACGAATGGGGTTTTCGCTTATGGATGACCATATGACACATAAGGACCCGAATCACTGGGGCGTCCAGCCGCAGGTGGAATATTTCAACCCCAGGGGTGGCAAGGTGGCTTGTCAAGGGAAAGACACATGCTCAGAGAGGCTGAGAAATACACATGTCGGGTCACTCAGGGGAGGGACCATGCACACGGGAGGCACCTAGCCGATGCGCAGACAATAGAAACTGGCGCCAATCGGAGGAACTCAGGGCTTACACCTGAGGAGAATATCGCACGTATCCAGTCCGTAGAGTGGAATGGCGAGCAAGCGAAGACACCTGAGCGGGTCCAGTACTAGCTGGTTGAAAGCTAGCCTGCAGCTCTGCAGATGT